GTGAGAAGCACAGGACTCTAGCCTCTGCCGTCTCCGCTAAGCACCTGCACTGATTGGTAAGTGCTTCAAATTTTTACCCCAGAAACTTCCGTGATGAAAAAAAAAAAAAAAAGCAAGCTTCCAGTATCTTACTGCTTCCTTGGGCTTGCTGGGACAAAGCAGAGTGTTTAGGCTAAGCAGGGGCTCCGTGGGCCAGACAAAGTCACAATTGTCATACCAGTTTTTTTTTGGGGGGGGGGCTGTGAGGGTACTGAGTTCTCTGACAGTCTGCATCCTCCCGAAAGGGACCTTCTGTGCAGTTTGGAGCTGAGAATGGCGTGGCCTTGCCTATCAGGGCAAAGGGTGCTTGTCTCGGTTCCTCCTCACATCCTACTTTACAGCACAGTCTCCTTGAGGAAGAAAGACTGCGTGCGGTCTTAGGTCCTTCCACATGAAGACATTCCCTTTGCATATGTGGTCTGGGGCCAGAGTTCAGACCTCAGATAGAAGAGGTTGACAAGGATAAGAACTGTGCAAGGTCAGAGGGAAGGCTAACCAGATTTACGCTGGACTGTGGATATAATGTTTCCGAAGCTTTTATTACATCAAGTCAAGCTAAACCTAATTGTTCGGGGATGCCCTCTAGAATATTATATGGCTAATATAATGTAATATAATAAATGCGTACCCACCCACTTCTGAGACTTGCTTGTGTTGATCCTGAGGCCTGGAAAGAAAGGGGTGTTCTGCCTTTGGTTTGTGACTTTGGAAGTGAATTAGCAGCTTTAGAAAGGCCAGAACTAGGGCGAGATTGATAAGACAATTTCGAGTAATTTATATTTAGGTATTATAATCCCAGGGACTAAGTGAGCATAGAAGGCATTCACTCACAGAAGGATCAGTGTGTGCCCGGCTTCTGGCTGGGCGCTGGCACTCTCAGCAGCCCTAGCAAACAGCATTTGGCATGCCCAGTTTCAGATGTAAAACCTACCACTTTTTGGCCTCTTGATGAGGAACAAGTGCACAGGTGTGAAGGCTAACTTAGCATAATAACACCTCGCAGCCCAGCTAGAAAGTGAAGAAAATAACCAAGACTTGGTTTCTGCTTAGAACTGCCTGCCTCACAGTGTGTCACCTCTGGTCATTTTTCTGCCTGTGGATTATAATAGACATCCTTACACTCTTAAGGAACAAAATACCCGGGTCAGCTTGTGACTTCAAGCTGAGCTGCAGAGGCAGCACAACTGTCCCCTCAAAAGTAGCCTGGGGGAGTGGAGACTAGCCACAGTAAAGTGTGCATCTGAGTTTTCAGAGCTATCCTGGCGCACACTGGTCCTCTGGATCTTCTGCAACATAAGGAGATTTGCTCCCCAGTGCCTAGCTCCTCGGCCCTCTGATTCTAGTCTCAGAAGTTTGAGAGACTGGTGTCATCAGCACCGGCTGTGTAGTGTGAGGACTGTTTATGGGTCTTCTCTCCCAGTGAGATTTGTGTTTGCAGGTATCCCAGTAAAAAGAAACACTAGGTTCCTTAGGAAAAGAGCAAGAATGAAGAAAGATTTTAGGGCATGGTCTCCTGGAAATCTCCCCAAGAAAGAGAAGTTACGTCTTTTGGTCTAGCACATACTTCCCATGGGCCACCCACGTTCTTTCCAATAACCAACAAGAACACACCTCAGATAATCAGTCTTGTATTCGCTGAGACATCTGAAAATTGACAATCAGGAAGGACAAAGGATGGCGCTGCTGTTCCCTAGTTCCCCCACAGACTCATTTAGCCGCAGAACTTGACCTGAAGGGATATGCATCTCCGTGGAGTCTGTCCTTGCACCCTTTAATCCAGATCCTTGCACTTGGCTGTAGAAAGAATGCACGAGATTGCTGGGGCTCCCCAAGGCCCTTCTGGGAACCTTATGTAATGAAAATGCCCTGGTTTCCACAGAACATTTGGCCTCAGGTGAGGGTGGGAGGGCCTATCCTGCCACTCAGCACTGAGTGAACCTGAGAATTCAGAGGCCGTGCTGAGGCAGCAGGAGACAAGAAATGGCACAAGAGTCTCAAATCACTTGACTGAAAATGGAACACCCTAGTGTAATATCTCTATGAAAAAGCACCTCTGAAGGCCTTAGTATTGGGGTTGGAGTCTAAGGACCAAGAGGACCAATCATTTAGATTTGTAGAAAAATAATTGGTTCCCCAGAAACTCCCAAAATTACAGGCAGCAGGCCAGGGAGCCAATGCTACCTTCCCTGTGCATCATGTCAAGTGCAGAGTCCTCCGTGACAACCTGTTTGGGACAGGGATGGAGCTGAAGGTGGGGGGGTGGTGGAATGCTTGGGCAGTGTGGGAAGCAGACATGAGACACACCTGCATCTTATCACAACAGGGAGCTTCCTTTCCTCTGAGAATGGGAGTGGAGAGCAGGCAGGGAGCTGGGTTTATTTCATCCAACACTCAACAGGCTGCGATAAGTGACCTCCAACAATGAGACAACCCCGAATCAGATATTCCCCCATCCTTCTTAGAAAGTTTTCAGTTCCTTTGAATTTCCTGACAGGACAGTCTTAATGACATCATCCAAGATTAAAGTGTCTTATATTCCTCTGCCAACTATCTCTGATACTGTTGATACTGTTGTAACATCAAATCCCAGATCTGATAATGGTCCCCTAGCCCCCGCTATCTAGCAAACAGTAGTCTGCCCCAGCTGGATTTCAGTCACACCAGTTTAAAATAGAATTGCTTCCTCTCTAGACAAAGCAACCTGAGTTGTCTTTGAGAGGAGCCCTTGTTGGATTTGTGAGGAGCTATTGGCTGGCCTAGCCTGTCCAGGGTTCTCTGATACCCTGGATCACCAGCCATGGGTAGACCCTTCCTTTAGTGGTCCACTCCCGATGGACCCCAACTCAACACCTACATGAAAGTGAAAGTGTCTATTGTTTCTTTGGGTTTTTCAGTTATGCATCCCATCAACTGTCATAGAAAGTGGTACATAAGAATCACTATGTATAGAAAATACTCTCTATGTGCTGAAGAGTCGCTATCTATAGAAAATACCCTATGTGTTGAAGACTAGATAATCCAACCCACCTTCACAGGAACCCTATAGGGAGAATATTATTACTTCAAGTCTGCAGGATTTAAAAGCCTCTGAAGGCCTTAGTATTGGGGTTGGAGTCCAAGGACCAAGAGGACCAATCATTTAGATTTGTAGAAAAATAATTGGTTCCCCAGAAACTCCCAAAATTACAGGCAGCAGGCAAGGGAGCCAATGCTACCTTCCCTGTGCATCATGTCAAGTGCAGAGTAAATCACCAACTGCTGGCCTCAAAGGAAATGAATACCCAGTACAAGGAGCAATTTGTTTCAGTTGGAGAGGAGGCGGAGGGTATCGCAGACATGTCTGACAAGTGTGTATGGTACAGGCCTGAGTCTCTGCAGTGATTCTGCTTGAGAGTGCATGAGTAATGGTCGGTCAGTCTAAACTCTCTCAACTTAAGTTTGTTCTGAGGATGGCTCCGCTCAGCAGATCACCGAGGGGTGGTTATCGGCACACCTGTGACAATTCAGAAAGGAAGAGGTTTCATTAAACATAACCACATCGTCGAGTCTGTCACATTTCCTGGAGCCCTCAGCATAGAGCCCACTCTTCCTGGGTAACAATTCCCTTCTAAAAATACCAGCACAAGGGGACAGCCTAGAAAACGTTACAACACACTTCCTTGTGGGTCCGGGGAGTTGGCAGTCTCTGCCCAGACACTAAGAACAATGGTCTGAATTGATTTCTGCTGAAGTCACTCACAGTCTACTAGGAGTGACACTAAAAGCCGGGCTCAAGTGATCAGCTAATGGCCCATCTGCTAGGCAGTGACCTCAGCTCGTGGGGGAGAATCCCTCAGCCTTCCCAGTGAACATCAGCTTAGTCTTCAAAGGCGAAGGAGTTAATTCAGCCTGGGCTCCAACTGTCATTGTGAATGATCTGTGGTTCTTCTGCGCGTTACAGGCTCTGGACTCTCATGAGAAGAAGATCAGCTCACTCCTTTTAACCGTGTTCATTTCTCCCCCTGACTCTACCGTTGTTATTCCGAACACCAGCAATAAATTATCCGACGGGAACACGAGAAACAGGCCCTAATGAAGACGTTCTTGAAACCTCAGCTAATGCATTTCTCGTCCAGACTTGACACGTTATCAATGCAGAATTTCACTCCTCCTGAATGAGCCTGTAACTGGTCCCAGGGAAAGTCCACGGGTTTGTGTTCCAGGAAAGGCAGGAATCTGGGGACAGGAAGAGACTGGCTTTAATCTTGGGAATCCCTAGGAATCAAATAGAAATATTCACAGAGAACAGGCTTTCCCTCTCTGAGTTCCTGCTGCCCTGGTGGACTGCATGAGGAGGGAGATGGGTTATTTTATAAGTTACCCAGGAGCCTTTGTCTACTCTGGGTTCAGAGGATTTGCCATATTTTTAAGAGGCTAAAGTGCCTAAAATTTATAGGAACTAGATTTTGATCTAAGCTTAACTAAGACGAGTGATGACTAAATTAACTGTGAGCTGGTGTGCTCCTGTTCCTCATCTGTTATATGGGTACAATCATACGCTATGGAACTCAGCACAGAAAATGCACACGCTGTGTGGCTGATGTTTTCTTTAACTCCTTAGCCCAACTCATTTCTAATTTGAACTTGATTCGATTCTGCAACCCTTAAGTAGACAAACAATGAACATTTGATATACAGCAAGTGTTCTCATAGGGAGAGAGACTTTGTGTGTGTCTAGGTGTGTGTGTGTTTCATTTGATTTGGTTTACATTTCAAATTTAGCAATTAACTCTAAGAAGCAGACTTGAAAAAATAGGATTGAGCTGGCTCCTACAATAATAATCACTCAGCATTTAATCTGTTTATTGAATGAATGAGTGAATGAATGAACAGAAGGCGTACTTACGTGCTTATTATGGCCTTTAATTTCTCCAGTGCTGGAAAGGACTCTCTCTCTCTCTCCCTCTCCCACCCCACTGAGGATGTCCACTGAGATGGTGTCCACTGAGCCAGTTCCACCTCTGGAGCTTTCAGAAGACATACTGGACAAGTTCGATCCTCACTGCAGCCTCTCAGGTAAACGCTCCTTTGGGAATGCCTGTCCTATAAGTCAGGAAAGGGTTCTTGGCCATCCTGCCTTCAGGCAAGTCAGCGAGAAGGGCCCCCCTGAAACCTGATCGCCTGTGCCTTCTGGTGGCAGCCTACACCAGATGGACAGGCAAATAGCCACGTGTCTGTGGGGTCCACAGTGTAAATATTAGCCGAAGTACTGGGGGGAAGTTCATTCTCATTAGAGAGAGACAGTGAGAGGCAGAGAAGCATTGTCCTGTGTTTTGGATGTGACAATCCCGGGCAGAGCGTTTTTGAGGCAATAAATGGAATATGGCAATATAGCTTGTTTCCAGTATTTTCCAGCACACTTAAACCCCATGTGCAGCGCCAATAAAATATTTCAAATATCTCTCTTTGCCTATCAAGACAGAATTTTAAATAGCCCTTTTTGCTTTATTGTCAATCTGTTTCCTTTCCAGAACTGACTTTTTGCATAACCTTTGTAATGAAAACACCAGAGACATTTCTGCCTCTACCCATTTCTAAAAATGAGACACTCAGACTTTTGATGGATGGGCCTTTTGCATATTCATAGCCTTTGTTAATGCCTCGTCTGGTTATGACTCGTCTCAGCTCCCCTCTCCTCGATTGCCTTCAAGATATTTTATGTTCAGAATTCCTCCAAAAATAAGGAAAAACACAATTGAAATGAAAGCCAAAATTAAAACAAATGTCTTGCTTTTCATACTAGGCACCTTGGGTTTGGATGGCAGCTCACCCCTGGCAGATTCATTTGCAAACTATTCCCCCAGAGACCTCACAGCAGGGCAGCACCCATCCTGAACAACATCATTCAATCGATACCTATAGTGTGTATAACACAGGGAAAAGGAAAAAACACTGTGGTAACAACTTTGAAGAATGACAGTGTCAACCAGATAGACTATATAGCTGAGAAATAGCTCCAAGAGCCTAGCTTGATCCTTATCAATAACCTGGCCGCAGCTGCCAACTGGATAGAATGACTGTAGGCTTAATGTGGGGATTAAATGAGATAATTTGTTCAGGAATGAATGTTGAGCAGTAGGCATGGAGAGCTGCACCCAGTCAGTAAAATCTTCCCACACCTCCTTTTCATATGCATGTGAACGTCACACAATCCAGGGCCCTCACAGAGGATAGCCTTGATATGTGTTATTAGATCAAGACTGTTGGTAATATCATCAAAGTCTTCCAGGTAAAGGGAAAGCTTACCGTTCAGTGTCACCAAAGGGGACCATGCCATCTGGTCTTTGTTCTATTTATTTATAGTAATGGTTGTATTCAAGCACAAAGGTGTATGGCTACTATTTCTAGTATAACTTCCTCAAACATATGGACGAGGAAAGACCTTTCCAGTACACGTAAGCTAGTCAAAGACAGTAACAATCTTACCATTTTATCCCTAGAATCTAATAAATGGCCTGACAGATTCTAGGAGGTTAAGAAATGTTGTCTGAATAGAATAACAAGTGACACTGGGTCCACCTGGACTCATAAAAATCAAGTGAAATGTTCACATATTCAATCTTCAACATTTTAAAGAAGCTTATCTGAACATTTTCCCAAGGAAACACATAAAGAAGGAAAGGAAAGTGGGAGCAGGGTATAGCCATACACACCTGTAACCCCAACACTTAGGAGGGCAAAGCAAAAATATCATAAGCTCAAGGCCAGCCTGTATTACACAGAGAATTCTGGGGTGGGTTGAGGGGAGTAAAAGAAAGGAGGGCAAACAAAGGGGAAAGAGAGGAGAGGAGGTGGGTGGGGACATGCTGAAAGGTTGTGTTAACTACACAATTCCCCATATTCTTTTGTCTTTCTAGAAATACCCAGACTGTATCAGGTCAGGGTTAGGAGCTTTTAGAGAAAACGTGCGGGTTCTTTGTTTTGTAGCTTCATTCAATTGTCTAGAAAAGCTCTATACAATAAGTTCATCTGAGTTTATTCATTCGAGCACATATTGAATAAATATGTATTTAAGGCTGCTGAAATGATTTTAAAAAACACAAAATCATAGCAAAAACAATAGTGATATCATTCTTTAAAATATTACCTGAGAAAAAATGCTACCAATATTCAGAAGGTGAGAAAGGCTAGTCAGGGCCGGGGTTAACAAGGAAAGACTGACAATGCTGGAGCTTCCTCCTGATCTGCTGGAAGCTTGGGCTGAGCAACAGCACAGTAGATGGGGTACTGAACAGGCGACATGTGTCCGATGCAAAACTCACGCATACGGATTTAGCATCATCCTCACTTTAGCAGTGGAGATAATATCGACACGCCTAGAAATTAATTCCCATGTTCTTAGAATCAACAAATGAGATAAAGGATGTGAACTCAGATTAGTACAACTTCCATTTCAAGCCCATGTGTTGGAGAGAGACGCAATTAAGAACAAAACTCCGAAAAGGCTGAGATCTTCCTCTCCTTGAGGACTGTCTGGAGCAGAAGATTGCAGGAGATGAGTCATTTCAGAGCAGTGGATCAGGGCTTGAACAATGGTAGAGTGATACATAAGTGAGCAGAGCAGACAACAACGTTTGGTTTAAGATGTAGCCACGACAAGACTTCCAAGAGCCTAGTGATTGGTCTGGAGTCATCACCGTTGAGAGCCTCTGATAATGTAACACAGAAGCTGGGCTGGAAAGGGTCTAGCCAAGGGGACTGTGAAAGGTAAAGAGATCAGACAGGAAACAACATTATAAAGAGGAGGCACAGACAACATTATAAAGACACAGGGCAGACAAAGTCCTGTAGATGATGAAGCCTGAGTGGGGCTTTTCAAGAGCCCTAGGCAGTCCTCAGAGGTAAGGCAAGCAAGAGATTCATTCTCCATCCGAGTGAAGTGTTCCAAGATCCAGGGAGCCTCTGTTGTCCATGGCTTGTGGGCCTTTAAGGAAAGGGATTCTTGACCAAAAGACATTGTGAACAATGAACCTACTTTCCTGCAGAAATTCAGCTCAAGCCTATTCTGGCAGCCATGGCCATATTTTTCTGCTTGCCCTTGCCTTGATGACTTTCCTGATTTCTCTTAATTTAAAGTTTTACCAGGGGACTGGAGAGATGGCTCAGTGGTTAAGTATACAGGTCCCAGCTACATATAACAGTTTACAACCATCTATAACTCCAGTTCCAAAGTATCCTGATGCCCCCTTCTGGCTTATGCAGACTCTGCATGCACAGACATATATTCAGACAAACCATCCACAAATACAAAATAAAACTAAACATTAAACATTTTTTTTTTGAGACAGGGTTCCTCTGTAGCTTTGGAGCCTGTCCTGGAACTAGCTCTTGTAGACCAGGCTAGCCTCAAACTCACAGAGATCTGCTTGCCTCTGCCTCCCGAATGCTGGGATTAAACGTGGGTGTCACTACCGCCCAGCTTATTTTTTTTTATGGTAAAGACTTTTTAACCTTTACTGACTTCTAATTTTCTGGTCTATATACAAAAACTTGCACGTTTATTCAATTCTTCCATTGACTAGATAAAAATAAACACTTTTCTTTTTCAGACCAAATAGCCACTATCCCTAACATCTCACGTGGTTAAGGACCCCCCATTTGTGGCCCAAGACTTACTTGTGTTACTCCTTTTCCTCTTTGAAACCAGATGACCTTTCAGACCAGTTCATTAAGGACTGTGACCTCAAAAAGAAGCAAAGGAAGGGGAAGAATGCACAGGCCACTCTGAATGTTGAGTCAGAGCAGAAGAAACCCAGAAGGAAAGACACACCTGCACTGCACATCCCACCTTTCCTACCAGGTAAGGGGCATGATACCGCTCTGCACGGCTGCAAGAACCGGCCGACAGGGCGCACCCATCTCCAAGATCCCCATCTCTTTAAACATGTGGGTTAAATTCTGTAATCCTATTGACATTGTAGAGTAGCATATGAAGACCACAAAGAAGAAGTTTTCTCCCAGTAGCAATAGAGGTTGGTGACAAGAAGGTGTCCTGAGTTTTAGAATTTCAAGGCCACAGGCTCATGAGATGTGACGTCATCAACACACAAAGAATAAGGTCTCCATAAGCTCCCAAAGTTGCAGTGAACACCTATATCCAGTAGACATGGGTGGAATCAGGATGGAAGATGGATAAGGAGGACCACGTGAGATGGGTCCCTCCCAGTCCCAGGTATCAGCTTATCATGGAGGAGGCTGGAATGAGCACCAGGTCCAGAAAAACAAAGTGACAATTAACATTTCCACTGCACCATTTTAGTGTGTCTTTTGGTAGGCTCACTCCTCTCCAGCAGTTTTATGCCTTTTCCTTCCTGTCTCCTTTATTTTTGGCCATTTACTTTGTATCCTTTCTACTCACAACATGTTTTAAGGGACACTAAACAAACAGTACTTACCTGGGTGAGATTTGCAGCAGTAACATTATAACGGAAGTTCTTAGGTCAAAAGCACAAAGCTGTGTCTGAGGAGTAATTGTGGAAACGTTCATAGGAGGAGCTAGTGCAGAAACGTGATGGAGAATCACCACTACCCAGCGTCTCTCCTACACGACAGAGGAGGCCCCTGGGTGAATGCCAGCGAAGGTGGAGAGATGATTAAAATATAGGGATGAATGTGCATGAACCACAACTTTGCAGGACAGAGATATGACCCCTCCTAGGTGTGAAAGATTGCTTCCACCTCTGCATCAGCTGTGGCAGGTCAGAGGCATTCCTCTGCCTCTCTTTCCTGAGACTGGTGACAGTGGCAGCAATATCAAGTTCCTCAGGGAAGATAACACCAGGCATTAAAACACACAGTAATAAAAACCATTCTCATTGACTTTTAGGAAACTTCTTTTTCTTTGAATAGCTACATTGTGTTCCTTCTCCAGGTACCAGCCTGCTAGGTACTGATGCACACCCCTTCAGCATTAGAAGCCATCCACTTGACCCTGTTCCTCTTTCTGCTCCTCTAACCATGCAGGTGTGATTCCAGAACACTTAATTAAAAGATACGATGTTCCAGAGAGAGTTCCAAAGGGCAAAACAGGCCCAGCCCTTCACAACGCCGACATGGAACAGAAGAGGCCAAGGAGAAAAGACACACCTGCCCTGCATATGCCTCCCTTTGTTGCAGGTAAATAAAAAAAAAAATCTGTTACAGAACATTCACAGGAGTGGTGGGAGCAGATTGGAAGAGCCTCACCATCTGGAGGTGCGAGGGGCATGGCCTGTGTCCTGGCCCAGCAAGCTGCTCTGCACTCAGGTGCCCCCAGGGAGGAGTGCACTTACTGCTGCCTTCCAGGTTTTCCTTCATGGGCAGTTCCCCGGGGACAACTTGCGGGTGGAGGAGACTCAAAAATAATTCCTGCTTCAGCTTTCCTGGTCAAATTCCCTGAGCCAGGGGAACAGAAATGTCAGTGGGACCTTGAGAAGACATGAAATTACTGCTTCTCCACCTTATGCGGATCGGGCATGTTAGGACTGATGGATGATTTCCTCAACTCTGTGGACAAATTTTCAAGGCAGGAGACAGAGATGGAGGAAGTGAGGGAGAAGATGCTCAAATGTAGATAGATATCTTAATATCTGTCAGATCACACAAGCACACGTGCACGCACACACACACATGCACACACACGTGTGCATGCACACACACAAACACACACACACATTGGGGAGTGAGTGGGGAATGAAGCTAGTGCACTCTTGATTAGATTCTGACTCTCTTGCTTGCCTTCTTGCTTGCTCGTTCACTCAGCTCACACAGCTTTGGAAATTAGCTGTTCTGACCTCTAAGTAGATGCAACCTCCTTAGATAATTCCCATGTATTGATAGTGTGGGAAGTTTAGAATACTCAGCAGTCTAGACTCACACTAGTTTCAATCTTTTCCTGTGAGTTCGTCTGGTAGTACTTAGTTTCTGGGAATCAGCACCAGAGGAAAGCCCATAATCACATAGCCAACAGATCGTCTGATACCTGCCGAGGCAAATAAAGTGAGGAGTCCAGCTAGGAAGGGAATGCACCAGAGAGACGAGGAAGGAAAATTCTATTGAATATAAAATCTTACATCTTCGTGCAAGCCTGCTGATGCCTTCCCTTCTAAATACTGAGTTATAATCCCATGAGAATGGATGCTACCTACATCCTATCTGTAGCCCAAAGACCAGCCTTCCTACTGAGTCAGAAGTGCCAATCAAGGACTGTAATGTCTCCAAGGTGCTGTGTATACAAAGGCTCTGAAGACCTTGTGAAATTTTTTGAGTCAGTCTGCTGTAAGCACCTTCAGGGGCAGACATAGCTGTCCAGTCCTGGCTTTTCTGGCTGTAGCTGCTGCTGTTCTTTATTTCTGGAGTCTGTGAGTGTGCACAGAATTGGCAGTAACCGCAATGCTTGTTAAGCTGAAAAGGATGAAGCCTTTGGCAGGTATTCAGAAAGACTCATGCTGGTTCCAATAAGGGTATTGAGAGCAACTCACAGGCAAACACACCGTCGAGACATCTCTCATTAACCCTTGGCAAGCAAAAACTGGACAAGGATTCATTATGCCTTAGAAATCCCGTGCTAACCATCTCACTCCCTTAGGTTAATGAGCAGTATCTGACAAGTCCAACTGCCTGGATAGACCGCCTACTGCTTCCCTGTCAGGTCCAAGCTTGGCCCACAGTTGCCAGAGATCCATCGTGAAAACTGCATGGCAGGGAGCACTGGTTGTGAGTGGTCAGAAACAGGTACCAAGCACTGCTTAAGAGAGGAAGTACTTTAGTCTACACTGGTAGCAGGAAGAGCCAAACAAAATAAAGACAATGAAGCAGGAAATATTGAACACCAGTCAGACAGTTGGAGGTCAGAAATCTAAACAGGGCATTTGTATAAAGGAAAGAGTAGAATCTCCTTTGAAGATGGAACAAGTCTATTCTGGGGAAAGATTCCCTGAGTTTGGTTTATGAGAACAGGTGTCTCCTTGTCAGGGCACCTTGAAGTTTGTGGAGAATATACTTAATGTAGATGACTAAGTTTGGATGCTGTCTAGGTAAGATCCTGCTCAGAAACAGCATGCTGGGCACCGCACAAAGACCTAGGACTAGAGACCTTGGCCCAACACACTAACGTCTTACAAAGAACCAAGTTCCCTAAACTCTAAATTCTGCTCTATACAGAAAGAAAGGAAATGAAGGTTGCTAGATCTCACTATGTCTGAGTCTGGTGCTAGGTGGTGGCTGTGGAGGATTGCTGGGAAGTTGGATGTTGCTCAAGGTTTCCTGCAGTGCACACTGATTTTCAGTAGAGGTTCATGGGGTATTCTTAGAACATTAAAGAATGTGGGTCTGTGCTGGGGGATGGGCCAGTGGGTGAAGTGTAGGACCTGAGTCTAGATCTCCAGATCCCAGCTTTCCATCTAGGTGGGGTCATGGAAGCCTGCCTGGATGCCCAGGTCTCAGGAAGTAGAGATGAGGGGCGTCAAAGGCAAGCTGGCTAGCTAAACTGGCTGAATTGTTGTGTTTCAGGTTTAGTATATAAAGTGGAGAGTGATTATAAAAGATGCCTGATATAAAGTTCTTGCCTCTATGCATATATGTAATTGCAAAGCATGTATGTATACACACACATGAAAAATTACAAGGAAAAGGGGATCAAAGGCCCAAGTCTCTCCTGCAACATAGAGCCCTAGAGGAAAAGCAAAGTATTTTTCCCAACTGGATAAACTGAGACTCGGGTGGGTTGAGTCAGCTCCTCAGTGGTGCCTGATGACCAAGGAAAGAGCTCTGGTTTTAGTGTCTCCCTCCCTTCAGGGACACAGCTCTGGCTTCTTAGGAGAACAGAAACCAGGAGGAAGACACATCACACAGTATTTCCCAAACTGGGCTGTCCTCAAATCCTCGAAGTAGCAAGGACCAAAGAAGCAGTGGTAACACATGTCCATTCCTGTATGGATTCTCTGAACAGGACACCCTGAGAGCCAAGACTCTGTTGAGCTCTGGTACTAGTCATCCTTCTGACACTATAAAATGCCCGAGAAAGCCAACTTAAGGAGAGGAAGGTTTTACCTGACTCAGATTTTCAATGCTTTAGTCCACAGTTGCTTGGCTTTTTTGCCCTTGAACCTGAGGCAGGAAAGAACATCACGAAGTTAGGTGTATGGTGGAGCAAAGCCCTTCACCTTGTAGTGGCTTGGAAAGAAAAGAGAAGGACAGGGGCGAGGGTGGGGTGCCAATGCCCTTTGAGGGTATGTCCCCAGAGACCTCACTTCCTTCTAATAGGCTTGCATCCTGATGACTCCACCACCTCCCGACCTCCCATGCAACTGGGAGCCCTGTTAAGAGCCCAAATATAATACATCCCATATCTTTCCCTTATAAAATATTTCAACCAATGTTTTATGTGTTGATATAAAAATGACAGCTCATTTAGCACATGCGATTATGTCCTCTGCCTCTGTGGGCAGGTTGGTCCACTTCAGGAAGAGCCAGCCTTTACCATTTAGCATGTTGTTGCTATTCTTGCTGACCCAAATCCTTCTTCCCACCTTCTGGCCCAGGTCTTCTAGACCTACATTTCAAGGATATCCAAAGTAAGTAGAAAGCTGCTGAACATAGGAATTTAAATGTATTTTTGCAAATTTTAAATTACCCAAAGTCCATCAACATAGCTAATTCTACATGCTCCTGCCATACTAGCTTTAATTCTAAATAAAACATTTTACTGTATGTCACTGTTATGAGAGAAAATTCTCCAAGTGTGTTTTTAAGTGATTTATGCAAATGCTTTAGCTTTAACCAGACTTAAAATTGTTTTTCTCCTCCAATAAATACTAGCTAACTGGTTAAAAATATAAACAAAAAGTTAAATCAAGTGAATAGTCATTAAGAACCGCACAGAGTTCTCATCAATTTGTTGCTGTTGAATGGAAGCCAATGCTGTGGAAAGGCCCCACACAGAGCCCAGCTCCTCTCCCCAAGGTCAGATCACTGGGAAGCACTGTGTAGACTGGAAGGGTGAAAGCAGGCTGTGCAGGGCTGTGGTTGGGGAACGTGGCTGGGGACTAGAGGAAAATGACAGAAATTACCAAACTACTGGTCTTGGCCCGGGTTCATTTGTCATCTCTTAAAATGGCCCTAACTGCCACTGAATGGGGAGGACCACCCAAGTCTTCTTTGTTGGTCTTTTCTGAAATCATCAGTCCTGAAAAATTATACTCCAAAAAGAAAAAGAGAAAGAAAGAAAGATAAGAAAAAAAGAAATTAAATCTTTTGAATTTCACAGGCCAGGGAATCTTTGGAAGAACAGCTTAACTTTATATTTTGTCTACGTGACAATTCATCTAATATTTTAATTCTATTTCCAAATAAAGAATTGCTGAAGGTATGGCCATACCATGTATGGAAACGCACTGTCCTCTAGTTTCTTCCCTTTGCTCTGATGCATGTGGACTCTGTCATCCAAGGACTGATGCTGGAAGCAGGCATTCAGAGATCAACACTTTCTCTGGTGCTTTTAGGTTTAACTTCATAAGGCTTACTACTCCTTTCAAAGGAGATATAAACTAGCAAATGGTGGAAAAAATATAATGGAAAACAGCAAAGGGTCCACATAGCTGATCATAGATGTGGCTTTAAATTTTTTGTAATATGTATTTATGGGTTGGGGGTGGCAAGCAGCACAAGTTCTCCACTGGACCCGTTGAGGTCAGAGGGCAACTTAGAGGAAGTAGGTCTCTCTTATTGCTCGGGACTTGGTGGTCAGACTCGGACTGTCAGAGCTGGTGGCAAGTACCTTTATTCCCTGAGCCATCTCACTGACCCACAGAGAAACTTTTTGATAGGCATGTTACAAATATATTATTAATTAATATGATGCTTCTTTGTAATGAATATGAGAACAGAACATTTAGACAATACAACACACCCTTGCCCAGTTTAGATTCAAAAGTGGCTGAACTAAAGCCCCAAACCGTAGGTCATAAATCCCTGTGTCTTCTATCCCCATGCACTGCACAACGGTGGCCTAGGCCTCTGTTTCCCCTTGCATCCAGAATAGTGTCTTCTTAAGCACCTCTACGATGGTCAAATAAGGCCTTTTGGTTCCCTCCTCCACACAGAAGCATTTCTGGGTCACTATGCCTTTGAGAGCAGTCTTGGAGCTCCAGGGCTGTCTGAGACATCAATTGGACATTCTGAATTGCAGGTCTACATTTTGTTTCGCAGGTTTGACTCTGCTTGGAGATGAGAGCCCCAGAGTGATCATGGAAGATGACGAGAAGGACGGTGACAAGCTAGCTATTTAAAGACACCTTCCCCCGAGATTGCGTGGAAATAGGTTAGATCCATTCCCTATGTGACCTAGAGGGAAAAAATAGATTTGTCTCTGCTCCCATTTTGTCCTAGTCTGACTCTGAGATCTAGATGCCCCTTCCCCAGGAGACCTACTGGTCAAACTGCCAGTCACCTCATCTTTCCTCCCGAGCTGCTTTCCAGACCCACTTCTTGAACCTCTACTATCTCCATTCAGTAAGAAGTATACTTCTCCAAACTAAGAGAGTTCAGTGTCTGCAGGCGAAGAGCACAGATGAAAAGGGGCCCTTTCCTCCTGGTTGAGAGGATGGGCAGAGTCCAAGTGAGCATCAGCCACACCCATGTGGAAGTCCAGCAAGGCCACTGCAGCCAATTAGATTGGTGAGAGCATTTGGTCTCTAGCTCATGGAATGTTCTGATGAAGTGGTTTTTCATTCTTCTTTTCTACATTGTGAGTCCAACTCTGGTCCCATTCTGAAGACCTTCATTATTAATGCCATAAAGGTTCAAGGGGGAGGATCCAGTCCACCATGCAATAGCTGAAGATGTCAGAGGCAGAGAGCACTGGTCTATGTAGAAGGTCTTATATTTAATTTTATTGTTAAAAATGAGAGCTCTTAACTATGTTCGTTGTTTTGACAACTGTGAATTATGTTATTAATAATGGCTCGTAAATAAATATCAGTGACTGTAAAGAATTTATTTTTAAAAATTTAAGGCCAGTTGAAGTTTGTTCTGATATTTTCAGCATCTGACTTATTGAGGTTCCAGTACACTTTCTTGTATAGGAGGCAGTGTTGTCTAGTGAACCCGGGTGTGCATTGAGCTCCTCTGCAGCAGGCAATCTCTGCATGCCTGTAGGGAGCTTTGCATACAGACTTCATTCACCAGAAAGCCAACAAGGGAAAGTGAAGAGTATTAGATGGAAGAAAAGCAGACGATCCAGTGCTCAGACCCAAGGGGAGCATGGGACGGTTCTGTATATACTTGAGTTCTAGCTGTTATTCTTTCTGTCTTTCTGTTCCCCTTACAAAGATGTAAAAGATACAAGACATTTCAGAAATAAAGATGCTGCTGCACACATCCCTGTGTCCTGGAACATCTCTCCTAATACTCCACTTGTTTAGAATTATAAATAACAACGGTTGAGAAATGAACAGTAACAAACCTTGCATGGTTTGGATTTGGTTAGTTTGTGTTTTTGTTTGGCCCATAACAATTTTTGAAGTCCTTGAATTAGCTGTTAATATTTAAGAATAAAATCCTGAAAATCTATATGGAATTCTAGGTTTTATTTTCTCTTGAGAAGATGTTTGGAGAGTTGACAGACTAGGCAGGCTGGGCTCTAACTAAAATGTGCCAACCCTATGACCACTGAGTTCTGTACACAATGCTAGAAGGCATGCATACACCCTTTTCAGAGTTCTGTCCCACCCTAGCTACTGACCCATTGGCTTCATGATAAGCGAAGTCTAAACCTTTACGACTTTAACCTTTTTCTGGGAGTTCAGAGCCCTAGTAAAATAAGTTAGTAATTATATACAACCTATTCACAGGGACTTCTTGTCTTTTTGATCCAAGCAATCCCAGTTTGGGGAAAGGAGCATAAAACTGTGACCACATTGCCGATTGAAGCACAAAGGATGAAAAGGGCCACTGCAGAGTGTTAAAGCAGTCCAAAGCAATTCCAGGCATGTGAAGAGCTGCATTGGTGCACCAACAACAGAATGATTTGCAGGTTTCTCACTGAGAAAACACAGATGCACTCTTGCCTTATTAGATTTTCTGTTTGAACGTGGAATACACCTGCAGTAGTGCCTGCAGCGTGTGCTTCATGACTCCTAGAAGCTTGGGAAAGCACCCACCATTTCTAGTGGGGAGAAACTGCCTGTTCTTAAAGCACGGGCCTCAGATTCCAGTCCCAGTTGAGTGACACGAAGCAAATCCCTGGAGCTCTGAGTTTGAAAATAAGGATGATGGTCCTTATGTTACTCTCTTTGTATTTTGAGAATTGAGGTGTAGAGCAGGGGTTTTGTAAGCTAAAATGTCCACCAACTGTAGGTTGGGAGGATTTGAGCAGGGACAAAGCCTTTCCGTGGACAAACTCCAGTTGCCTTAGTGTTGAGCTGGGAGCAGGATTGAAGAAGGATTCTGTGTATCTGAAGGATCTCAAGCGGGGAGAACCCTGCTACCTGTGCAGCCGTCACAGCACTGTCTGTCTTCTTTTCAGGGGAATCTGGCCCTTGTGACAAAGTCCCAGGCTCTGTGAGAAGCAGCAAAGCCAGTAAAAGTGCAGCCAAAGCTGGATGCTGTGGGAGGAAGTCATACCTCCCTCAAGCCCCTTATCCCCTTTTGGGATAGCAGGTCGGGCGAGGTTTGTGGATAGTTCTCTATATACTGTACATTCCCTACAAGCAAATGATGGGGCTGCTAGCAATGGGTTTCAAGCGCCATCCAGAAAGCAGGTTCAAATTGAAGAAGCCACTGGCCATTCATTCTTTCTGAAGGCATTGTCACTGAACCCGAGCTCACGGAGAGGAAGACACATCACATGTAAGAATTAGCTCTCCCTTAAAAGGACTGTCCAGATAGCTGTTAGTAGTTATTGGCTGGGGTCACACAGCCAGCTGCTAATGCCGAATTATTACTGGGAGAGTCAAGACCGGTGCTGTAGGGTGAGACAGGATTGTGAAGAATGAGAGTAGGGTTTTCTTTTAATTGCAATTTGGTCAGTTTTCTTTCCCCAGCCTGTGGTGCCCAAGTTGCCTTCTTTAAAGAGGAAGAGACTGCATTAGCTCGTGGTTGTGAAAATAAGTTCATAAAGCAGTTATTTTTGCCCACTAACAGGCTGGTCACCCGATGGGGTTAGTGGGAACTTTGTCATTGCCTGTGAGTGAATCTTCCATGCCACTGTAAGACATGAGTGTGAAAGTGATATTCATGAGAGCTTTTGGGCTCCTAGATCCCTGGGCTCTCCTTCAATCTATCATCTTTGTGGGTGTTCTGAACATGATTTTGAACCCCTAAGTCAAGCCAGAAGACTGAGCACAGGTCTTCTCTTTGAAGGCATCTTCTAAGGACCCAAGGTCATTGAGATAAGGACACACCACAAATGAGAGTTAGGTCTCTTTCAAAAGCACCGATTGGGGTCTTTCTTCCAATACAGACAGACTTAAATAGCATTCAGAGAACTTACATGTTGTTGAAAACAAGCTTGGCCTTGGAATTTCCAAGATGCCAACTTACCTTCCTCTAGAAGAAAAGAATGAGTGTTTTCTAAGACAAGAAAAATCCCAGGATGCTCTAAGTGGAATCCTAAGCACAGAATGTATGGGAATAGAGAGGAGGCAATTGGGCAAAAACAACAAAATACTATTTCATACCCCCGAATACATGTTAAAACCCAGTTTCAAATTCCAGGCTGAGTGTCAGTAGTTGTTATCACATCTTACAACTGTGACCAAGCCAGAAAAGGATTTCTTTGCCCTCAGACTTTGCTGTCCCAGGGATACTCTTTCTTTGTGCCCAGGGGTACTGTGTCCGCACAGTCATCAGTATAGGATAGGTTCCATGTGAACAACACATGGCTTTCAACTCCAAAGTTTCGATGCAGAAATATTCTTTTTGTTGAAATAGGAGCAGTAGGCTGCGTCCCCAGCACCCCGGCTGCCCACATGGCTAGCTTATGCCCTGAAATAATTACACGGAAACTGTATTATTTTAAACACTGCCTGGCCCATTAGTTCCAGCCTCTTATTGGCTAGCTCTTACATATTGACCTAACCCATTTTTAATAATCTGTGTAGCCCATGAGGTGGCTTACCAGGGAAGATCTTAACCTGTGGCTGTCTGGAGTGGGAGAATCATGGCGACTCCTTGACTCAGCTTCTTTCTCCCAGCATTCTGTCCTGTTTACTCCGCCTACCTAATTTTATGTCCTATTAAAGCGCCAAGACAGTCTCTTTATTTAACCAATGAAATTAACACAAAACAGAACACTCTCCCCCATCATCTTTTAAAATTACTTTTATTACAGTGTGTGTGTGTGTGTGTGAAGTATATGTAAGTCAGAGGACTTACAGGAGGAAGGAGTTCGCTCTCTTCTTCCACCATGTGGGATCCCAGTGTTACACTCAGGTTGTAAAGTTTGGCCACAAGTACTTTTGTCCACTGAATCAGTTACCAGCCTTTTAGAAACACTCTTGGCTAGAGGCCCAATGGACATCTTTCCATCCGCTGTCTCACTCTGCAGCTGGTGGCAGACAGAACTTTGCCCAGAACCTGGATCTTTTCTGACCAGAAACCCTTAAATTTCAGTGGTTTCCCCAATCTCTGCTGTTTGGAACCTAAAGTATTGGGTTTTTCCAGAGAGGTATGAGGGAGTTCTCAAAGGAAGTGACAAGAAAAAAAAAAAGAACAGGAAATAAAAGGCAACAAGAAATGAAGGACAAATTTGTTCATCCTAATGTACCTATTCCTCTTGATGTTGAAGGTCTGCCTGTGAGCTGACTAAACAAACAAAAACTAAACTACACTGTAGGTCCCCCTGTCCTTATATGACAGATAGAGAAACAATATACGCTTCATTTCTTGCCAGTTAAATTGCACACATTGTATTCTCAGAGAAACAGTGTTCTCTGAGTCCTTGTCTGATGTTTTTCCTATGCGCCTCATTTAATTCTTAATACCAATTTGTAAGACACTGAGTAAGACCCAGGGAATGGAGAGTCAAGACAGCCCCGGTGAGAGTCCAGGTCTCTTACTGTGTTCATATTGTGTGGATTTTAAGACTCTTCTTTGAAGCAGGGCCAAAAAAACAATGGAGGCTAAGGTATCTTTCCAGAAAGAAGTCAATTATGTGAACAGCTTTGAACAGTCACCCTCTGTCGTAGTTGGATCTAAAATGTCCGCTGTTACATGTGTGAATGCTCATTTTTTGTGGGTTCTGGAAACATTAAGAGATGAAGCATTGCCTGGAGGAAGAATGTCAATA